CTCTCGCCACTACTTACCACATGCACAAAAGACATACCATATGACGGTGCATGGTTCCATGTTTTAGCAGAAGATTCATTCTAATGTTATACTTTTGGTTTTTGGTGAGTACCACTGAGTGGTGGAGCTAGGCCCTGAGAATCACGTGGAGACACGAACAGGGTCTAGCTGAATTGGTGACCCATAACTCCCGAGCTACAGACCTGAACTCGGCCCCACAGAATACATTGGTGGTCTGCTCGCACCTCTCCCATATATGACGCGGCCATCCTGCTTTCTGAAGTGATGGTACTCAATGCCCCTCCACAATGTTCAAGTGCATTGTCGGAGCAATTTGAGTTACCTGCAGGGGGCCCTGAATTGACGTAAAGGGGGCCCTTTGGTCTCTCTCTCTCTCTCTCTCTCTCTCTCTCTCTCTCTCTCTCTCTCTCTCTCCTGTCTCTTATACACATCTAGATGTGTATAAGAGACAGGTCGGGGGGGGGACAGGGTAAGATTGTAGTGCGTGTTATGTGGAGGCGAAATGGGGTAGGGGTAAAAACCGGGTTGCGATTGGGGTGGAGAAGGTGGTTTGGGTAGGAGGTGGGATGTGTGTGTGGCCAAAATAAAGTCGTCAAAAGGTCGGGGTAGGGACGGGGAGAGCTCGGGAGGGAGGGCGAAACAGGGACAGGGATGGAGTCGACGTAGGGTCGATGTGTTGGCGGGAGGGGGACAAAATCGGGTTGTGGTGAGGATGGGTCTAGAGTGGGAGTCGAAACGGAAGCGACGGGGAGGGCGGGCACGTGGAGAAGAGGCTATGGGGAGGGAGGAGGGGGAGGAGGTTGGACCGGCGGCTAAAAGTCTTCAGTATGAGGTAAAATTCAGACTTTGAAATGTTAGGAAAGCGGGGGGGGGKGGGGGAAGACGTCGTGCGGTGTTGGCGATCAAATGAGGGGGGGAAGATGTCAATCGAGTTGGATCGGGGATGGATGGCTTGGCAAGTGGGGAGAAGGTGAGGGGTAGGAGAGAGGGAACTCGGGGATGCGTTCAGGCGAATGATTGACCAGAATCGAGAAAGGAGGAGGCTAGAGGGGGAATTGTCGGGTGGTCTCGTCAGGACTGGTTACGATGGATAGGAAAAGGAAGTCCTAGGAGAAGTAGCATTGAAGGGAGCAAGACGAGGGGGAGAAGTGATGGAGTGGGGAAGATGGAAGCAAGAAGCAGGGAGAAGGAGAAAGTATCAGTAGGGGGACGGAGGCTTCTCACTTGACGAAAGCTTGATTCTTGGTCCTTGATCGGGGGGAAGGCGGTCTCTTCAGTAGGAACAGCGCAGTCGATGGGAATCCTCGAGCTTCCAGTTGTCGGCTATAGCGCGCCTCTCAGTGACGATGGCTATCGTCGCTCTTTGTCACGCCGCCTGAAAGAGGTCGTGTATACGTGCTTCAGTCTCCTCAACCACTTAGCCGCGCCCGGGGGACGCGTCAGAAGAAAAAGAAACCTCCTTAGTGTTCGCATATGGCGTTTGCAGGGAACCGAAGTTCATCCACGTCGGCAGTTGTGGCGATGTCATCGATAGTATTGCTCAACATTCACTTCGAACCACACTACCGCGTCCGACGGGCGCGGCGGGAGATTCTCTCCTTCTCGACGATGGTATGTGGTGCTTGGGCGATGGCACCTGTGAGCGCGGCGCGAAAAGTTCGCGCTTACCACTTTTCAAAAAACGAGCGCGGGCGGGAGCACTTACCAGACGGCGCTCGCGCGAAAATACACTACATCTTTCTTGTCGGGCAGCTTTTTCCTTTCCCTTTCAGACTGCAATTTCAACAGGGAAACAAATAACTTGACTAATCAAACTGCAAAAAAATCGTAAGTTTGGGGTAATCACGAATAAAAATAAAAATAAAAATTTGAAATATTCCAGATAAGAGTAAGCACAACAATTTTTTATTTTGAGAAGTATCGTCCCCAAAACACAACTGCGAAGGGAGAGGTCTGAAAGAAAAAGATTTCGGACTTACCAAGCAACGAAATTCCGAAATTAAAAAAATCAAAAATTTTGGCGACTTGGCAGATGAACGATTTCAGATTTTACAAAACCGAATTTGTGCAAAAGAGAGAATTTTGAATTTTTGAAAATGAAAAAAAATCGAAATTTTACAGTTAGGCAACCAATCGATCTATCGATCTTTCCTATTCGCGCATCAGGTCGAATCCCATCCTAATTCACTAGCGGACGCTCCCATACCAATTGATATATGCTCGATCGAGCGATGCATATGGAGCTAAAGGATCCACAAAGTGATGAAAAGGACTCAAATGGACAATGCAGCGTCAGCGAAGCATCAACAAGCAACGTACATCCAGATACATACAAAAATAGCACAATGTAGCGCAGTGGAAGACTCAAAGATATGACATGACCTGTCACATACTGACGCGACTCAACTCATCACACACCACACATATGAGAGAGAAGGAGGGACCGCATACGTAGAAGAAAAGGTCCCTCCTTTGATGCACACATGGGGAGATACCGCGGATGAGGTGATAAGGAGGGGGCGAGACAAAGATGGAGATGAGGGAGAAGACCAAAATCGCGATAACGAAGTCCAAAAATAGTCTCCGTGCCGAATGTCCTATCAATGTCTGCCGCAAAAATGTTGAATCAGATCCTGGGCCTCATCGCCCGATATAGCTTCTGCCTGTAACCTCTCTCTCTCTCTCTCTCTCTCTCTCTCTCTCTCTCTCTCTCTCTCTCTCTGAAGGAGGAAGCAGAAGAAGAAGAAGAAAAAGGAGGAAGAAGAAGAAGACGGAGGAAGGAGGGTGAGAACGGGAAGAAGAAGACGGAGGAAGAAGACAGAGGAAGAAGAAGGAGGGCGAGAACAGGAAGAAGAAGACGATTTCGTCCTCCTCGCTGTCTCACCTGCAGGGAACAAATGCACCGGCACGTCGCTGTGCTGCAGGTCGCTGGTGCGAAGCTCAGCTATGGCGGCTAGGTACGGACTCCGTCGCTGCAGCTATGGCCTCCGCCCTTCTCCCTACCTACACCTCTACCTCCGGCGCAGCGCCGTATAGCGCAGCTCCAGCAGCGTGTCACCCAAGAAGTGAGCTACTCGAACTGTGTGTTTGCCCTGGCCTGGCCCAGCTATGTTTCACGCTGGGCCTCACCTTGTGCCCCTGGTCCTGGCCTGAAACGGCCTGCCTGGGTCCCTACCGTCCGTCCAGGTCCTCCCTGCTGGTGCAGCAGGGAGTGTCCGCTACCGGACGAAAACGAACCTGGCCCAAAAGGGCCTGGCCGCGGATGGAGAAGGCCCAAACTGCAGCCTTGGTCTGAACAGACCGTAAGTCTGTTCAGACACACTGCAAGTCCGAAACGACGCCCGAGCAGACAAAAATAGAACAGCAAATAAATAAATAAATAAATGCTGCCTCAAATCGAAACCCTGCAGCCCCAAAGGCTGGCCATGGGCCTCCAGGGTGCATGCCCGGTGGCGTGCGGCCTGGGGGCCCCCAGCAACCGTTCGGCCCCCCAAACAGGGCCCGTGTGGAGGCTCAGCATGTAACATAGGCCTGGAATGTGGCCCATTCCTTATGTCGCTTAGCGGTTTATATAGTATTGTAGATGTAGATATCCGGGACTGAGGTGGACCGGCCAGATTATTCATATACCCTACTACCAGATGGCCGAAATTATGCTCATACTGAGGAGCCGTCGGGCTACAACGGTCCACGTGGTGGGCATGAGCATAATTTTGTGGACCCGCTATCCAAGGTCCGCCCCTGGGGGTGGATACACCCACAATTTTGCCAGCCCGTTCCTGGGCATGCGCATAATTTCATAGTCCGCAACAGAGGGTCTGCAGGACTGGGTATGCCGACAATTTAGCACAGGGGAAACGTGGGGTACTATGCAAAGCTGAAGGGGTTCCAGGTATAGATGCAAGTTATAGCGGGTATTCCCATCTTTAAGTGGGTACCAATGCAATTTCCCCCTCCCAAAAAAAAAAAGAGTTCAAAAGACCAATTGATAAAACTTTTTCCTAGCATGAAAAACAGACATTTGGAGTTCTCTTATTGAATATCGACAGCAGATGAGGTTTTCAACTTCCTCGCGTCAGGGGGGACACATACGTTGACGAGCGCATGAAGGGGATAAAGATTATCATCGGCCCTGTGTAAGGATGACACTCATAAATTGAGAGATGGCCGAAGAAGAAGGAGGAGGAGGAGTGATGGATATGTTGGGCTCCCATGCGATGGAAAAAAGAAAAGAATTTAAAACTTAAAAGACCAATTGATAAAACGTTTTCCTAGCACTGAAAAACAGGCATTTGGAGTTCTCTTATTGAATATCGAAATCAGCTGAGGTTTTGAACTTCCTCGCGTCAGGGGGGACGCATACAAGGATGAGCGCATGAATGGGGGTAAACTACTTGTCTCTTTTGCGGTGGCACCTGCGTTGACTCTTTTGGATGAGTTGCATTCTTAGCTCAGATGGAACGAGCAACTACCATCTAAGTTGAAGGTCAGGGCGCTGAATTCTTTGGTAGAGAATTCAAGGTTATATTTTCGCACGTGTTTGAATCCTGCCTCTCCCAGTTGGTGCCCTGCATACATTCATTATTTACATGCAACATGTTCAAACCCTGACTCTCCAACTTGATGGCCTGCATACATTAGTTGTTTACATGTAGTGTGTTCAAATCCTGCCTATTCCGATTGGTGACCTGCATACATTCATTGTTTACAAGTAACATGCCAAAATCCTGCCACTCCCACTTGGTGGGCCTGCATACATTCATTATTTACGAGTAATGGACTTGTGAGGGCGAAAGTGATGGTTAGCTTCTCTTCACAAATATCTCGAAAGAATAGATCTATAAGACTATAACAATCTATTTAAATTTAAATGCATGTGTGTGTTGAAGAGAGAGATGTCCAGAGCCAAGGCAAGGAGGGGTTGGGCTTTGTTGCAGTAATTCTGCTTGGATAAGGACAACACAGAGCGGTATACAAACCTTTCGAATGCATCTCTTGCGTCCCAAATCCGCCTCACCATATCCGAAGAGATGTCCCCTTGAAGCTTGAGTGGTTTCCTATCAGCTGGTGGAAACCTGGAAGCCATCTTGCCATGCAGTTGACGATCCWCWCYYYC